TTATTAAGTACTCTTTGAGTTCTGACTCTATTTTAAGATATAATGTGATACAGTAAATTACTTAATATGATAGCTCTTCTAGCTTTAAACTTTGTAACTCCCACCAAACAACTTCCTAAAGGGTCTAAATAAGAAAGGCAGAGGAAGATGCCAACAGTGTTAGATGATTCATTTGTTAGTAATTACTAATGGAGTTAATTTGGATTCTAAAATCTTGGAACTCTAAAAGGGGGATTGGCCAATTTTTCCATCTCGCTAGGGCTCTCTGAGTGCTGGAGCTCCTAGATCCAGAAGACAAAGAGCTGTGATTCCACAGTAGCAGAGACCAACAGCAACAGATCCAAAGCAGAAGCACAGACTACAGGGGCTTCTTGGCCCATCTAGTGAGAGCGCCTTCAGGGAAGCTTGCTTGTTGTGTGGGTTTTGCTCCCAGTACTTACCTGGGAGAGCTAGGTTTGCTGGCCCATGGCATTAGATTGGAGCTCTTTTGGATTGATAGTTATGGTGGAGTGCCCTTTGAACCCTTATTAGCAGAGCTAACAGAGTTTTCTAACAGGGCAGAAGTCAATAGACAGCGTGGATAAGAGGCTGATGCTAAATTGTAAACCTGTTGTGTTAGTCTGGGTTGACTAGTGAGACAAATTTATAGATACTCATATGTATAGAAGAAAGCATTTTATATACAAGAGCAGTTGAATATTGAGAAAACATCCCAGCCCAGTCCAGGTCAAGTCCATAAGTCTGATATTAGCCCATGTGTCTGATACCAATCTATAAAGTCCTCTTCAGACTCACGGAACACATGCAATGACACCAAATGCAGCAAGACCACAGGCCAGTGTATAAAAGGTCTTATGGATCGAGTGGTGGGGTAAGCATCTCAACCTTGGCAGGGGTCTCCATGTGGCTCCTCTAGCTCCAGGGCTCTAGCATAGCTCCATGTGGCTCCCAGGGAGTGAGTCTGTGTCCTGCCTCCAAAGAGCTATTTATCTCCTTAACGCCTCCAAATGAGGTCATCAAGCTGTGACCTGATTGACAGGCTAAACTCCACCCTTTCACTCATAAGTCTGAAATTGACAACAGATCACCAAATGTAACAGGTATTTATATTGTATTGTTTGAGTTCTGTGTGGACAGTGCATGAACCTTTGAACCCGGCAGAGCATTCAGAAATGTCTTGGGAGGGCCTTCTCATGTCCACATGGGTAAGACTGGAGAGTAGAGCACGTCCGACTCCTGTGCCCTAATGGAAAGAGGCCTTGAGCACCACGATGTATGAGGCTCGTTTCTGTTGTGAAGGTGGAAGGCATCGTCTCCATATTATTGAAGCATACAGCTTTTCACAAGAATCCCATGAGGGAGACATAGTATTTCATTCCCATTTTACAAATGAGGAGACTATGTTTACAATACTTAAATGCAATGTCATTTTCCAAAATACATTGGATGAGGTGATCTAGAATGTTTTAAGGAGAGGCTCAATGGAGAGAAATATAATGCTGGGTGGCTGATCTCAATGGAAGGTATAGGCTAAGTCCGGTCGCTAAACAAAGGTGGTCTACTTCCATCGGGTTTCCAGGATGTACACCCTCTGGGACATAGTTCTACTCTTTAACACGTGGAGACATCGTGAGTTGGAAATCAACCTGCTGGCTACTGTTTTTGCTTTGTTTTTAAATGAATCATGTCATAGGAAATATTTCAAATGGGAAAATGAGTATCAATTAAGCATGACAATAAAAGAACCATAGAAACAGATGAGGTATAGGAAACAAATTATATTGTAGGATATTTTTCTCAAGCATTGTTTGTTCTGTCGTTCAAAAGGCCGCAATGGGTCGAACGGAGTCGATGGCACCTAACAACATTTTTCTCAGACAAGCACCTGGAAGCATACTTCCACGCAGCCTGGCACAGCACGAAGGTGTGTTTTCTTCTGTTGTATGCAGGGTCGCCATTGTACACAGAGTGGAGATCACTGGTGGTGACTAACAACATGATGTAAAGAAACTCGTTTGGGCGATAGGAAGAAATGGATAAGGAAGCCAATAGCTGTCATTTAAACGTGGCTAATAAGAAATAACAAATGCCACTTTAATTTGCCAATACGGCTTTTACCAACTACAGTATTTACACAAATATTGACACATGAAATAGCAGTTATTTTAACCTTAGCTGTTTGTGATTTTTAGTTCACGATAGATAGGAAGAGAGCTTGTTTTGTTTTTACATGAGATTCAAAGTATTAACAATCAGGGAATATGAACTGAGATTGTGGGTGTGCTCGTCTGGGTACATTAGAGAAACAGATCCACAGAAACTCATATGCATAAGAGAGTTTCATATAAAGGGAAAGTGCACATCAAGAAAACACCCACTGCTGCCCAAGCCCACAAGTCCAACATTAGCCCATATGTCTGATGCCAATCCACAAAGTCCTCTTCCACCTCACAAAACACAGGCAATGACGCCCACTGCAGGAGGAAAGTTGAATCAGTGAATGTGTAAGCATCTCAGCACTGGCAGGGGTCTCCACAGGACTGCTCCAGCACCCAGGGCTGCATCGGGGTCGGTCCATGTGGCTTCTGCTTGGGGATGTCTTGAAGGAAGCCAGTCTTGCCAGCTGAATCAGGGAGCTGGCTAAGGCAGCTGCACCCTTGTCCGATCACCACAAAGCATGAGACCCTAGAACTAGAAAGGCGAGGCTCACAGAGCCATTTATCTCTCTGCCCTTCAATTAACCTCATGTGTTTACTGGCCAGGTTGGCACAATAAAACTATCTCAGTGGGGAAGTGGCTGCACTAGAATAGAATCAGTTGCTGCTGAGTGGATTCTGACTCAGTGTGATCTGACTCCTGGTAACCCCGTGTTTCAAAGTTGGTCTGCACCCCATAGGGCAGTGGTTCTCAACCTGTGGGTCACAAACCCCTTTGGGGATTGAATGACCCTTTCACAGGGGTCGCCTGATTCACAACAGTAGCAAAATTAGTTATGAAGTAGCAATGAAAATAATTTTATGGTTGGGCAGTCACCACATGAGAAAGTGTATTAAAGGTTCGAGGTATTAGGAAGGTTGAGAACTACTGCCATGGGGCCTTGATGGGTGTGAATTTTTGGAAGCAGATCATCAGGCTTTATTCCAAAGTGCCTCTAAGTGCGTTCAAACCACCAACCATTTAGTTAGTAGCCTAATAGTAAACTGTTTATACCATACAGGAACTCCTTAGGCTGCTTATAAAAAGGCATCTTGCTTAAAACAATGAGTTTGAAAGGAATGTTGCTGCCATCAAGAGCTGTGTAACTAACCAGGGCACAACAGAAGGAAACCCTAACTGGCTCTGCATCATTCCCACCATTATTACCACAGTAACTCTACACTTGCTAACCTTCCTTATGGAACTGTTACGATGGAGATTGGAGAATGGCCTTGGGGACTGTGAAACAAAGTGTAAAAGTGGATCATTACCGTATTTTATTTATAATATAGTAAGTTCATTGATGGAGAATTCTTACTCATTCTCTTTAACAACCTTTTTATTATTAAAAGATTATTTTATTGGGGGGGTCTTACAACTCATAACAATCCATACATCAATTCTATCAGGCTTATTTGTACGTGATGCCATCATTATTTTCTAAACACTTACTTTCTATTGAGCCCTTGGTATCAGCTTTTTTTCTGCCCCAACCCTCATTACCCTTTGAAAAATTATAAACGATTATTTTCATCTTACACTTGACTGCTGTCTTCCTTCCCCCATGGGGCCAGGGGTGTGTATGATTATGTGTTCATCACTGCAATCAGTTCCCCCTTACTCCCATCCCCACCTTCTCCTTACCCTCCTGTTATCACTACTCCCATTCTTGTTCCTAGATTCCGAGTGTCCTGAGCTCTTATCTGTACCTGTGTACATGCTCCAGTCCAGTCCACAATGAAAGGCAGCACTGGGGTCATAATAATGGGGGGTGAGGAAGCCTTATGGAACCAAAGGAATATTGTGTTTCATCAGTGCTATACTGTACCCTGGTTGACTCATCCTTCCTTGTGACTCTTCTGTGAGGGGATGTCCCATTGTGTACAAATGGACAACCTCTGAAAGGATAATGAATACATTATCAAGAAAGACCATTTTGAGCTTTTCATGTTTTCTTATTTAGCTTTTTTTCCCCTCCTGTTCATAAGCTCCCATTCTTAAATAGAACCAGAGTAGTTTATGATTGTCTTAAGATGGTATCTTTTACCGGTTATATCCTGTTACCCACCCTTTGCCTTTGAATATATTTGAGATTTACAGCTATTCAGCAAAGGAGAACAAAACTGCTCCTTGAGTTTCCAGGATTAAATCTTTAGAGATGCACACAGCTTCATCTTATTTTTCTCCTCATAGCACTGCTGGTGGGTTTGATCCTTCAGCCTTGTAGTTAGCAGCCAAACACCAAACCACACCACCACCAGGGATTCTTACTAGTTGGTAACCCACGTATCAAAATATTGGTCCAACACATGCAGGTAAAAATAAATGGAAAACAATCTGATGGGGGGAAAATGCAACAGATATGATTAAAAACAAAAACATGGGGCTGTACCATTCAGAGAATATAGAATACCTTATTATGTTTTTATTGTTCAGTAGTGGGTTCAGTTCATAAAGAAGGAAACACTGCCCAGTCCTGACCCATCCTCCAAATCCTTGCCAAGCCCTTTGTTGGAAGGAATGCCCACATTTTCAGTTTAAAAGGGCTTGTGAACCAACCAAACTGCTGGAGTATAACCTTACTTCTATGGAGTCCCAAATACTTTACAAAGCTGCTCAATGGTTGGGATTGCAGATATATTCTTAGAGCTCTGTGTTCCCACTGAGGGCCTCATGGCAGGTGCTCAGCTCAATTGTGTTGAATGCTTTTATCAAGTGCAGGGGTGTGTTAAGCCTGTCGGTTCTAACTTGCCCTAGAGTTTGATCGCTGAACTCACCTTTTTTTTTTTTTTTTTGGCTTTGAGATTGCCTTGCGGAAGAGCAAGGGAACCACCGGTGGTTCCGCTGAGCGCGGGGCGAGGCCTGGTAGCTGCAGTGCCCAGGCCTGCACGGAAGCGCCCTGGCATTAGTCAGCACCCAGCTTTGAAGGCAGCCGCCTTTCCCAGCGCGGCCCCAAGCGCAGAGCAGCCACGCGCTCCTGGGGCCATTGTGCGCGCGGCCGGCCTGGAGATCGCAGGCCCTGGGGGCAGCTCCACCGCAGGAGACAAGACACGCCTCAGCCGGGCAGATTTCCGGCCTCCTCTGGCCCGGGGCCAGCGGCCACCG